ATGATTTTGGTGAGATGTGTTTAATGTCTAAAAGATGAGAAAAATCCAAGCTCTCCATTCACAGTGTATAATTAATTCCACAAAAAGGAAATTAAACAATTTCCACAATTAAAATACTTCTACATTGAAAAGGAAATTACTTTTAGTACCAACAAGTAAAAATGTTAGAGAAATCCTGCATAATATTCAATGTCTTATTTAACAGATTTTCCATGTCAATCCTTTATGCATTTTGCTCATCCTGAGGGATCATCCTTAGTTATGTACTTTTGTCTCTTTGATTATACATATATGATATAAATATAGATATTATATATAGATAGATATGCATACATATATTCTATAAGAACAGTTAAAATAATCACCTATGTTTTAAAATCCATTATTGTGTCAGAGAAATATTTTTTCTCATATGGATTATGCCTCCCTCATCCAAACATCCTCACATAAAATGTAAGAAAGGTATAATATGCAAGTTGACCTAACACACTTGTAGCCACATGTTTATTTTTCAGCACTACAAGAAAAAAGTGACAAGTTGACAGTATAATTATAGAAAGTTGTTTGTCTTTTCATATTTAATAGTATTCTAACAAATTATTTCTGAGATGCAGTGTTTTAAAGAAATTCTTCTTCTCAACTACCCCTTTCTTCTTTTTCTCCCCCTGGTTTAATAAGGACTTGTTTATTTTGAGGAAGAAAGGTCCCAAACATCAGGCTGTTCACAAAAATAACCCACAGTATCAACTTTAGAAAACAAATCTTAAGACTATAACTAATTATTTTTTCCAGAGGATGCATTTGACATGCCAACTCTCATTCATAAAAATACACTGTTACATTTGTGTTGTATTGCCCCACACAGCACACTAATGTGGGGGTGTAATACCTTCTAACTCAAAGCTGCTTCCAGGAGCTACTCACCTAAAGGAGATACTGCCTTTGCAGTTAAGGAAGCAACTATTGAACTTATGTGTGAATGAAAAGAACTGTACTCCTTGTATAACAAGAGATTATTTTGGAGGCAGTTGATAAAAACCATACATCCATTTTATTGTTAAGTCATAAAGAGGTATCAAAATTAAAAGCAAAAATTACAGGGTAAGACTTAACAAAACTACTAGGAGTATCAAAGGAAGTGAAAATGGGAATAGGCACAGGGCAATATAAATTAATATAAATTAATGAACATGGGAAGGACAAGAATGGGGAGAACAGTGAGCATGTGCTGAAGATACTAGGGGAGTGGATCTGGTGAAAAATCTGAACTTAGACAAGTGCCTAGGTAAAGAAATAATGGGATAAGACTTCTAAACCCTACTATGTGCTTAAGAGTCATCTTTGCCACTGGCACTGTCTCTGTCATCCTCTTCTTCCTCAGACTCTTTTTCATCATCCTTGATCAACTCCAGCTGGTCATCCCCCTTCTTCATTATCATCATCATCATCATCCAGTAGGTCCCCCTTCTCAGCAAAGTCGTATGCACCTACCTTAGACTCCATCTTCACATTAGTCTCTACTGCTCTTCTCCTCTTCTAACTTATCATGCTTCATCTCTACTGCTGGTTTCCTATTCCTTTTCCATTTTATCCAGGTTTTCCAGGAGAGAATCCACTTATTTTTATCTGGGTCAATTCCTTCTTAACGGCCTGAAGGTCATCTCCTTTCAACTTTCCAGACTTGGAAGAGCCCACTTTTGTTCCTTTGTGAGGTGTTTCCTGATACATGCTGATGTTTCAAGGGCATTACAACCCAAGCAATAGGAGGAGGAGGAACACGTGCTGGGTAACTGCACATCCTATCATAATAATCGCATTAAAAGACATGGTCCAAGTCAAAAGAGGAGCCGTACATCTCTGCCTACAGCAGCCCGGGCATTTCTCGTATTAACATATTGAATGAAGGCAAAGCACTTATGAACAGAACAACCTACAATTTTGTCATACCTCAAAAAGATTGCCTCCACATCAGATTTCTTGAGCACAAGTGTGTTGAGATTTCCAGTGAACACATGAAGTTCATGGATGGAGGATCTGTCTTGTCAGTAATGTTGTTGGCCATTGCATTTGATGATAAAATTTCTCTCAAAGCAGAAACTGAAGCTGAAGATCAAAAAAATCTCACAGGAGTGGGGAGAGAGAAGAGATTCGATTCTGAAACTCCTACTTCCGGGTTCTATGTGGAGAAGAGGACTGCTGCTTGAGGTTGGCAAGGTAGCCACAACCTGTCAATCTTCATCTCTTCACAAAATGACCTCCTTTCTTCTTTTTATCCCTAGAGAGCAAATGCTTTGTTTTATCCCTTTCTAGGTCCACAGCACTTTCTATGGTACTTTATGTAAAGAGATGGTAAAAAAGACTAAGAATGAATGCACAATGGAATATAAAAAGGAATAAAGTAATGATATCTGCTACAACATAAATGGACCTTGAAAACATTATGTTGCCAGATGCAGTGGCTAACACTTGTAATCCCTGCACTTTGGGAGGCCGAGGCAGGCAGATTGCTTGAACTCAGGAGTTCGAGACCAGCCTGGACAACAGAGTCAGACCATGTCTCTAAAAAAATGAAAACAAAATTAGCTGGGTGTGGTGGCACACACCTGCAGTCCCCGCTACTCAGGAGGCTGAGGTGGGAAAACTCCTGGAGCCCAGGAGGTCGGAGGCTGCAGTGAGCCATGATCATGCCACTGCTCTCCAGCCTGGGTGACACAGCTAGATTCCGTCTCAACAAGAAAAAAGAAACATTAAGTGAAAGAAGCCAAACAGAAAAACTACATCTTATATGATTCCACTTATATGAAATGTCCAGAATAGGGAAATCCATAGGGAAAGTAGATTAGTGGATGCCAGGGATGGGGTTGAGGAGGGCAGAATGGAGAATAATTACTAATAGATATGGAGTTTCTTTTTATTACCCTAAGAAAATTTCTAGAATTAGAAAGTGAAGATAATTCGGCAACTTTTGAATATATAAAAAACCAATGAGAATTTAAAAGGGAGAATTTTACAGTATGTGATTAATATCTCAACTTTAAAAAAAGAGTGAATGAATGCCCACACTATTTTTCTCTCTCATCTAAAGTTCAAAAGATTGCCCATGAACTAATATCTAAGCTGATTTAATTTTCCCCACCCTTGGTCATATTATCAGTTGCCACTACCCTCTGTTCAACTATTATGTCCTCAAAGAATAAAAATTTATGTTAATATCATAAAAGAAATCAATCTTTTGGAAAAGCAAATAAAAATCACTTTAGATTATTCCACTGTGGCTGTTTGCAAGACTGTCTACATTAAAAAGAGTCAGTAATGGAAAAATGATTGTAATGAAATATTCTCATTTTTCTCTTCCCTTCCTTCTTCCATCTTATTACTAAATAACAGAATTAAGTGTTGTTTGGGGTTAATAGCAAATGATGTAATCATCACATTCAATTCCATGAACAAATATTTACTGATCACCACAGTGTTACACTGGGAAACAAGCTCTCTTAAATAAGAAACAAATAACATATCTTAAAAACAAGTCACAAAACTATCCCATATATCACTTTCTTTGGAATATTACATAATCAGTCTGGGGAATATAGAGATGATAAAGGCAGCTCGTTAACAAGCTGTTAAGTCACACAATAAATATTCATTAAATGCTTATTCAATAAATAGTATTACACAAGGAAAGGAGCATCAGCTTTGCAATCAAGTCTATCTGTGCTGGATTTCCAGATCTTCATTTTGTAAATTGTGTGCTTTGGGAAAATTAGTTAACATTCATGAATCTTATTCTCTATGGTAAAACAGGAATAAAACTACCTGAGGCAGGCATGATGGCACACACCTGTTGCCCTAGCTACTCAGAAACTGAGGCAGGAGGATTGCTTGACCCCAGGAGGTTGAGGATGCAATGAACTATAATCATACCCCTGCACTCCAGCCTGTGTGACAGTGAGACTCTGTCTCTATAAAACAAACAAACAAAACTCCCTACCTAGGATGGTATTGTGAGGAATAAATGAAATAATAGGAACATACCTAGCAAGCTTCTGGTAAATGAAAACTATTTTTGTTTTTTGTTTTGTTTTTGTTTTTGCTTTGAGACAGTCTCACTCTGTTGCCCAAGCTGGAGTGCACTGGTATGATCTCAGCTCACTGCAACCTCCACCTCCCAGGCTCAAGCAATTCTCATGTCTCAGCCTCCCAAGTAGCTGGGACTACAGGCATGTGCCACCATACCCAGCTAATTTTTGTATTTTTAGCAGAGACAGGGTTTCACCGTGTTGGCCAGGCTGGTCTCAAACTCCTGACCTCAAGTGATCCACCCACCTGGGCCTCCCTAAATGCTGGGATTACAGGTGTGAGCCACTGTACCTAGCCAAAAACTATTGTTAAGATTGTAACTATGTTCAAGGCAGAGAAGAGCTAGGGGAAGAGAGTGGGTTAAAATGAGTAAGACGTTTCCAATTGGAGGTTCAGTAAGGACTCAAAAAGATGGAGCTGAATGTTGAAGAATAAGTAATTTGTAGGCAAATAAAAGTGGGAAGAGAAGGAAACTCTGGGTGGAAGGAAGATAATGCAGAAAGGCATCGATACTTAGAAGCGTAGAGTGTGGAGGGGCCTCAATTAATGTTTATTGAGTTGAGCTGGGTTGATTACACATTATATTGAATGTGCCAGTATAAAACACAAGTTTTTGAGATGACAGTTCTTCCCTTTCTGAAATCTAAAAAAAAATTTAAACAAGAGTATTTCTACTGTAAATTTATTAGCACATAAAACTTTTTCTTTGTTTTTCATTAGTCACTATTAATTACAAAACATAAATGTTTCAGACCTTTAGTGTAAATGGAATGTGTTTTTAAACACCTAAAAATCCAGTTTACATTGTATTGAAGATATAATGTATTGTAAAATATGTCAAACTATCTCCTGTTAATAGAAGAAAAAGATGTAAGAGTAAATAAATGTAATACAGTATCATATTTACATACCTTTTAACAACAAAACTTTTTATACCTTCCAAAATGATAAGCTTTTAGTACAAGCTAATTAAGAAAATTCATAATAAGTGGCCAGGCTCAGTGGCTCATGCCTGTAATCCCCGCAATTTAGGAGGCCAAGGTGGGCAGATCATGAGGTCAGGAGTTCGAGACCAGCCTGGCCAACATAGTGAAACCCTGACTCTACTTAAAAAAAAAAAAAAAAAGAAAATTTATAATAAGCAAAAGAAGTGTCACAAACTCAGTAATATGTACATTATTTTACTGAAGTATAAAGTTATAACAAGATTAACCATTGAAAAATTCATAGTTGTATAGACACTACCCTAATTACAATATAGAATATTTCCATCCAAATGGAAAAAAGTTTCTTCTTGTCATTTGTTGTCAAACTCTGCTTTGAGGCAACCACTGACCTGTTCTCCATATCTATAGTTTTGCCCTTTCCAAAATGTCACATAAATGGAACCATACAGTATGCAGCCTTTTAAATTTAACTTCTTTCACTACATATAATACAATTGAGATTCATCTGTGCTGCTGTGTGTGTATCAGTAGTTCATGTCTTTTCATTGCTGAGAACTATTTCACTGTATGGATGTACCACATAGATTGTTTATTCATTTACTTGTTGAATGACATTTTGGTTGATTCCAGTTTTGGGTAATTATAAATGAAACTGCTAAAAAATTTTTGAGTACTGGTTTTGTGTGAAAGTAAGTCTTCATTTCTCTTGAGTGAATACATAGAAAATATTCTGCTGAGTCATATGATAAATTTGTGTTTAATTTTATAAGAAACTGTCAAACGGTTTTCCAAGGTGTATGTTACATTCTGCATTCCCACCAGCAATGTATCAGCGTTAGAATTTATCTACATCCTCACCAATACATGGCAGTATCAGTTTCCTTGATTTTGGTCAACCTAATGGGTATTCAGTGGTATCTAATTTTTAATTTGCATCTTTCCAATTACTAATAATGTTGAACAATTTTCCATGTGCTTATTTGCCATCTAAATATCTTTTTCTGGTGAAGTATCTGTTCAAATCTTTTATCTATTTTAAAAATTGGGTTTGTTTTTCTACTGTTGAGTTTTGTAAGGTCTAAAAATATATTCTGGACATAACTACATTAGAAAGCAAATTTGAAAATATTTTCTTCCAGTCTGTGGTTTGTCCATTTTCACTCTTAATGCTGTCTTTTGAAGAACAGAAATTTTTATTTTGATGAAATCCAATTATCAAGTTTCTGCAATATCTTACAAATGTTTGCCCAGCCAAAGGTCACAATGATTTTCTCCTATATTTTCTTCTATAACATTTAGGCTTTACATTTAGATTTATGATCCATTTTGAGCTCATTTTTGTATATGTTTGTGAAATATAGATTGAGGTTCATTTTTCTATATAGAGATGAGCTCTGTCGAAACATCATTTGTTGAAAAGATTATCCTTTATCCATTGAATTGTCTTTCCCATTTGTAGAACTCAATTTATCAACTCATCATAAATGTGTGGACTTTTTTTGAATTCTCTATTCTATCCCATTGATATTTATGCCAATACCCCACTGTCTTGATTACTGTAGCTTTATAATAAGTATTAGAGTTATACAGTATCATCTTCCAACTTTACTTTTCTTTTCAAGTTATTTTCGCTATTCTAGGTCCTCTGCATTTTCTTATGGGTTTTAGATTCCGCTTGTCAACTTCTACCTAAAACTCCCTGCTGGAATTTTTTTGAGATTGCACTGAATCTATAGATCAATTTGGAGAAAACTGACATTTTAAATTCTGCCTTGTCCCTTTGGCAAGTTTTGTTCAGGACTGTTTCCAACCACTCTCCCAACAATAAAAAACTTCTAATAGTGCTGATAAAAGATTGTGGGACCAAGACTATTTTCTTCTTCTCCCCGAGGAGTGGATTCTTTTTTTTCCTTTATCCTTTACCCAGCCACAATAGGTTTTCACCTATACCCTGGAAATAACAAATGTGCTGCCCCTTCCTCAGTGACTTGAGGCTTTTGTTCTTACAGGAGAAGTGTCAAAGTGGGGCATCCTGTCTTTCTGGCAGTGACAGTCACTCCCTTCATTCAGGCCTGCACCAGTGAAGGAGAACCTCTGCCTTTTCCCAAATCTTTCTTTAGAGGCCTGTGCAGAAGAAGCCTAGAAGTGCATGTGAACTCCGCTTGTATATGTGACTACCAATGGTTCTATACTTGGCCTTTAGCAACCCACCTAAAAAGTTTAGCCAAATACTTCTTATCTGCTTGATTGGTGCCTGGTGTTTCTTCCTGAGACTGTGCTCTATCACAAGTGAGACAGTGCTTGTGTCTCATCTCTTTTTGGAGGAGTCTGCATTTTCTTGGACTTTAGGCTACTTAGTTGCTCTGCATCAGAAGCTCTCTGATGAGTTCAAGAAATGTTATGATTCTTTAGTTTATCTGACATTTTATTATATTTAGGGTGAAAGTGACATTCTTTCCAATTTCCTCATCCTAGGTGGAAAGAAAATTCCCAAATTTAGCAACATTTCAAAGTGAATTTATTTTTTGTTAATCACTAATAGCATGGATTTATGGAAAACACATATTCAGACAATGCTTATTACACATTTGGACTCACAGATTTTTGACAGACTTACTAGTCTGTGCTTCAACCCCTCCCTATCAGAGATCCACACACATGGTTTTGAAATCCATATCACACCTTAAGATTTTTTAAAAGTCAACTTAAAACCCTTTTAACTATGGTTTTGAAATGACTAAGGTCAATTGTAATAGCTATTGTAATTTAGCTAAATTTCAAATACAAAGGCAAAAAAAGTACCATTTTATTAAAGAAGAAAAATTATCTGCATACATGGTCAGAAACAGCTTCTAATACTATGTAAGCTTTGAATTTTTTAATGCTCACATATTTAAAGTCACTGTCACCATTATATGAGGTATAAAAGGTTCTAAACTGGCTAGAAATTTAACTTGGGACATAATGCCAGAAGGAAATATTTGTGATTCTGTATTTCCCACAAAAAGGTAAACTGATTTTGACAAATAACAGCAATTACACCTATTACTTTTAGCACTTTGAAACTTATTTTCTGAGTAACATGTATAATCTACAAATAAGAAAACTGAAAACTGCTGAGATTTTTTAAGCAAATTTGACAATCTAGTCTTTCATAGCATCTTACCACAAAACATATGACTTATTTTTTTCCCCATTGACTGATAGTAGCATATAGTATGTTTGACTTTGTAATGGTAATTTATTATGATGGTCTTCAAATTTAAAGGGAAAAAAAGAAGAAAAATAATATTTAAAGTGTACTATTTTAATACATTGCTTTATAGAATTTAATTGTTCCTGGGCTTATCACAAATAAATTGACTTAAAACTAGCCTCTCATTTGTAATGATGAACGTTAACTTGCATAGCAAAAGATGAGTAAAAATTTATTTGCACAGCAAAGGGGGGAAATAGAAATGACCCATTCAAATACTGTTTTAAAGAGTGCTTTCACTATAAAACTGTTAGATACACTTATAACACATAGAATCAGATAAGTGGTATCATGTGGTCAAAGACAGACTCAATAAATTCAATACCAAATGAAAAGATTTTACTCTTAAAGACTCCAAAGAGATCACTTGTCAGAACAACGAATTCCTCTCTTTTATATTAAAATCTGAAAGTAATAATCAAGGGAGAAAAAAACTAATTGTTTTACTAAGTTCCTAGCAATACCATGCTGGAATCTGTGTCCTACCATTCTTCAGTTAATTTTTTAATGGATGATCATTTTAACAGCTGCTCTACTTCTTTCTTTATACACATATATTAAACTACTACACATTTCAAAGTGAAATACATGACACTTCCCCCTGAAATAGCCAAAAATTGGCATTCTAGTATTCTTGGAAGCATTTATCTGCTAGAAAAGATGTGGCTTTGATTCCCTGGTGGTAAGGTGAATTTCCTTCATTATCTTCAAGGTCTCTATGTATGACAGGATTGAATTCCTTCGAGGTCACCCAAAGTCCTGAGAGCTCCAGAGAATTATTTTGGCACTCTGACTTCTATTTTCTGTAACATTTGGCAATGTCTCAAAGTTTCATCAGAGAAAAAAAATAAAACCCACAAAATCTATGGGAAAAATGTCATAACTGACTATATTTGCAAAGGCAATCATATTCATTCAAGAAATTTTCAGTATGAAGATGTGTATCAATTATAGAATGAAAGACTTGGCCTCTATTTAAAATGCTCTCTTTATAGCCCACTGACATTTATTTGTGTTAGTCAAGGCTGATATAAGTCTGCTCTCCTAATTTTTGTATTAGATGTAAAATTAAACGCAAAACATTTCAAATGTATCAAATCCAACTGTTGTAAACCCTTTTCACATAAAACTTCCTTCCACCAGCAAACATCTTACCAGAGATATTTTCCTATCAGCTGAGAAAAATAATTATTTCATTAGATACAATATTCCCAAGAAAATAAAATTTATTTATAATGTCAAAAATGATTATTTTTAAAAAACGCTAAATTTAAAAAACTATCACTGACTGTGAAGGGTGGTTCATGAATGAGCACTCAGTAGAAGAACATGAAGGAAGTCCTAAAATTATCTTAGAAACATTTATCTGCCCATATCTATATACCATCGTGAATAATTTTCAAATCACCATGAAAGGAGTTTCTAGGCAATTTCCCATAGTACATTAATATTAACATACTATGGTGACATTTTTTTAAAAAAAGGTCAAGACAAAGTTCTGAAAAGTTGGAGCAAGAGGGGAACAGAAAACAAATGGAAGAGTGAAAACCTAAACCCGATGTGGCATAATCTTGCTATCTTGAGTACTTTCTCATTTAGGTCCTTCTCCAAACACCAAATGCACAGTTACATTTGCAATTATACCGATACCCGATAATATGTATTTGCTCAACTAAATATTATTTGAAAATTAAATAAAGATCACAGTTATAAAAGCAAAAAGGAAAAATTCCACTTCTCAAAATAGTCCTAATACTTCTTCCAGGATTGTGGACAGAAAGTTTTTAAACAGAAAAAATCTTAGTTTCTACTGCCAAATTTCAGATTTTAGGTTATATAAAATGTAATGATTAAGAAGCAAGATGGCAAACAAAGCCATAATTACGTTAGAAACATAAAGACAATATCAAAATGCTTGAATGCTGACTGTGGAATTAAAGGTAACCACACAAATTTGATAAAGAACAGTTAAGTTCATCCATTTCATAGTATGTAACATGAAAGGCAATTGTTTTTAAGTTATACTTGGTCAACATCACCACGCACTAAATAATGTGCTTTACAGAGCATATTAACAGCCATAATTCCTGTCTTTAATATATTATAATTTTAAACAGACTTATTTACAGATAAAAAGACCTTGGTATTCAACTGAACAAGAGCTAAAAGGTTAAAGGAAAGATACCAGCTAAGAGTTTTAAAAATCCACTAGAAATAGTGTTTACTGGTAAAAAGAACAAACAAATTTATAGTCAAATACAATACTGATTCTTCATCAAAATGGACTAAACGAGAGAAAACAAAAACCTAGAGAGCAGTAGGATATATACAAAAGTGGAGAATTCTCATATTTGTTCAATATCCAGACTATTATATTATTACATAAAAAACAAGTCTTACCTTGTTGCTGTGAAGGTGCAATATCACATTTATTTCTAATGCGTAGGTAACTTTGTTCTGGTTTGTGTTCAACTTGCTTAACATTTTGCTTTTGCTTTTGTGGATACTAAATAATTTAAGATATGAGGTCATAATATTATTTTTTAGTTACTTAAAAAACTGAGATGCCAAAATATACAGGTGTTTATTATATAAAATTTTAATAATATGCTTGCTTTTTATTGCCATTTATTTATTAGCACTTCTACCAATAAATAGGTGATGAGGTATATATTACAAAAGAAAAGACATTGTAAAAAAAAAAGAATTTAAAAGTCTTGGATCATATATACAGATTTCAAACATTCAAGTCAATTCTGTCTATTTTTATTAGAGAACTCAGAGCTACTTATAAATCAAACTACTTTATATATATATAATGGATTTAGACAGGATAAGCACTTAATTTGGCAGCAAACTCTTCCATATAACCATTTTTTGCATAAAATGAAAATCTGCATAATGCACTGCAATTTTTGAAGAGCTTTTACATATAGCAACACCATTTAATTCTCAGAAGTGTGAGTAGGTATTATCCTCCATTTGCCATTCAAGAAACATATGCTTCATCATAAGCCCTATCATCTCTATCCCTTACTGCAACATAATCAACTTTGAAATCTACAGTAGTCACAAATCTCATAATCATATATCACAAAGTGTGTGATTTTTTCGTTCTTCTCTTCCTTATTTTATGAGCTTACTTTTGAATAAGCCCCTGAAAACAGCTATAAGATACATGTTTTTTTTCTTGTTTTTATTTATTTTTGCCCTTCTCCTGACTGTAAAGATACCTTTAACAGGAGCTTAAAAAGAAATCTCTGGACCCTTATCAATAAATACAACCAGAGACGAATCTGAAACATCTGTCCACATGGCCACTGCAGCTTTAGCAGGCATCCTCTTTATCTAGGGGTAAAAATGAGTAGCTTTAAGCTGCAGTAATAATAACTAGCTTTCACTCTGGTCTTTCAAGTTTAGAGCTGTTAGTCATGTATGTTTCTTCCTTGAAGGAAATATTATCTTGGTGTTTATTTCTAAGATGGGTACTAGGACTATCTCTGGCTCTGGCTGCTGACACTTTGAACCTCTCAATTGGTTTCCTTACTTACTCACAGTGAATAAGAGCTGTGAACACAGGAGCTAAACTGCCTGTGTTCAAATCTGGCTAAGGCATTTTCTAGCTTTGACCTTAGGCAAGTTATTTAACTCCTCAATACCTCAATTTCCTGATTCATGAAATAAGGATAATAATAACAACTACCTCATTAGGCTGTTATAAGGACTAAATGAGTTAAAATACATAAAAAACTTAGAACAGCATCTAGCACTATAAATAAGTGTGTGCTATTATATTACTAACCATACATCCCTGCTAGCTAAAGAAATCTAACAAAGGAATTTTCTGAGGCCCATATTTCTGGTAACACTTTATAGTTTTATTCTAAAAACAAGCCACCAATTAAGAGGAAGCAATTCTTATATTTTTAAACAGTTTTATTAAGGTATAAGTAATAGACTATAAACTGCACATATTTAAAGTGTCCAATTTGCTATTTTGACCTATGTATAAACCCATGAAAGCATCACCACAATCAAGATAATACAATAAACACATCCATCAATCTCAAAAGTTTTCTCACACCCTTTTATCTTCTCCCTCTTGCCCATCCCACCTCTATCTCCTACTTTCTCAAGAACTGAAATGCTTTCTATTACTAGAAATAAGTTTGCATTTTCTAGAATTTTATATAAGTAAAATAATGAGGTTTTTTTTTTGGTATGGCTTCTTTACTCAACATAACTTTTGTAAGAACCATCCATGTTACTGTTTGTATTAATAGTTCATGTTTTTGGTTGCTAAATATTCCACTGTACAGGATATACCACAATTTGTCCATTCACTAGTTGACGGACATTTGTGTTGTTTCCAGTTTTGGGCTAATACAAATATAAAGTTGTATGAACATTCATGTACAAGTCTTTGTGCAAACATATGTTTTAGTTTCTCTTGGGAAACTAGGAGTGAAATGCATGGTTCATTTGCTGGGTGTATATTTTTAAAGAAATGGCCAAGCTCTTTTCCAAAGTGGTTGGATCATTCTGCATTCCCAATCAGCAAAGTATGAGAGTTCAGTTGCTCTACATCCTTGCTGACACTTGGCATGACAGTCTTTTAGATTTTAGATATTCTAATAGCTATGTAGTGGTAGATCATTGTTTTATTTTGCATTTTCCTAATGACTAACTCTGTTGAGAATCTTTTTATGTGCTCATTTGCCATTCATATATCTTCTCTGGGTAAAGTACTTGTCCAAATCTATTGTGTATTTTTTAACTGGATTGTTTGTTTTCTTAATATTGAGTTATGCGAGCTCTTTATATATTTTGAATACAAGTCTTTGATCAGAAAAGTGATTTGTAAATATTTTCTCCCAGTCAGTGACTTGCCTTTTAATTCTCTTAACAGTTTTGAAGAACAGAAGTTCTTATTTTTGATAAGACCAATTAAAAAAAATATTTTTCATAGATAGTACTTTTGGTATCATATTCTAGAAATGTTTGCCTAATCGTGGCCACAAAAAAATTTTTTTATACAGAAGTTATTAACAGATACTTTTTTATTATTAACTAGTTTTTCCTGATCATCACTTGGTCACAGGTTGGTAATACTGAACCCTACATAATCATGTGTTCCAAAAACAATCTTTATCTTACATATTTTTTTGGTTTCATCCTTAACACATGTACTGCTACACAATATCACGAATAAATACTTATTCATAAATGAGTTCAAAATGAGTAATGAATTGTCAATATACAAATAAAAAACTATTTAATAATAAACATTCTTTAGATTAACAGCTTGGTGAGCAATTAACCTATTTTTTCAGTACACAAGATTGCATGTGCCATTGGCTTCACTCAGTATAAAATTTCTTACGCAATACATTTCTTATGAAACACTTTTTACAAATTTCAATGTAATAAAGATTTACTGAACACCTACTATGTGCAATGTACTGAGCTAGGTATTGCATGCAGATACTGAGATATAAGTGAAATAGTGACCTTACTTTTATATATATTATTTTTATGTATTATTTATTCATTCATTTTTTTGAGACAAAAGTCTCATTATGTCACCCAGTTGGAGTGCAGTGGCATAACCTGGGCTCACCACAACCTCTGCCTCCTGGGCACAAGCAATCTGCCCACCAGCCTGCCAAGTAGCTGGGACTACAGGAGACTGGCTAATTTTTGTATATTTTTATAGAGACAGGATTTCGCTACATTGCCCAGGCTGGTCTCAAATGCCTGGACTCAAGCAATCAGCTGCCTCAGCCTCCCAGAGTGCTGGGATTACAGGTGTGAGCCACTGTACCTGGCCATTACTTTTATTTTTTAATTTAAAGATGAGGGAATTAAGGCTTAAAAGAGGCTAAGTAATGTATTCAAGGGCACAGCTTGGGTGAGCTAAAATTTATATTCAGGCTTGAGTTAGGAAATAAAGGAGGCATGATTTGAAGCTATCTGACTCCAGAGGCTTGGCTCCTGATGGGCCAAAACATGCTAAGGCAATATTGTTTCAATTCTCATTTTAAGTAAAGTACATGTGCTACTAATTTGGTACCTGAGAAAATTCTTCAGCAGCTACTAGTAAATTAACATCATTTTCTCGTGCTGTCAGAAGTGTTGTGGGAAGAACAAGGTTAGAATTTGGCTCCAACTCCAATTCTCCCAAACTCATTGGACCATGACTAGCATATGAATCTTCATAAATACCACCTGTTATCAAAATGTAAACAAAAAGTTAAATTGTTAAATTTATCTTCAAAAATGAACAAGTACTTAACTAAAACTACGAATATTTCTCACCTGCTGAATTAGAAAAAGCAGCGCACTTCAAACAAAAACACCTGGACCAAGCCTTCACTGCAATTAAACCCATAACTCAGAGAGAATGCAAAACGTACCTATGTTCAAACAAATCCATGGAATATTCTATGTAAAGGTTCCAATGAACAAGTTACCCATGCAGTCCATCTGCAGCTTTCTTCCCATGTACAAACTCTTAATACTCCTGCTTACCTTTCTAAGAGTCAATAGAACACTTTCTTTTTTTTTTTTTTGAGACGGAGTTTCGCTCCATACCCAGGCTGGAGTGCAATGGCGCGACCTCGGTTTACCCCAACCTCTGCCTCCTGGGTTCAGGCAATTCTCCTGCCTCAGCCTCCTGAGTAGCTGGGATTACAGGCACACGCCACCGTGCCCAGCTAATTTTTTTTTGCATTTTTAGTAGAGACGGCGTTTCACCATGTTGACCAGGATGGTCTCGATCTCTTGACCTCGTGATCCACCCGCCTCGGCCTCCCAAAGTGCTATCTAAAATGTATTTTTTTTTTTGAGGGGGATGTAGTCTCGCTCTGTCGCCAGGCTTGAGGGCAGTGGCGCAATCTCCCCTCACTGAAATCTCCACCTCCCAGGTTCAAGAGATTCTCCTGCCTCAGCCTCCTGAGTAGCTAGGACTACAGGCACGCACCACCACGCCCAGCTAAGTTTTGTATTTTTAGTAGAGACAGGGTTTCACCAAGTTTGTCCAGATGGTCTTGACCTCTTGATCTTGTGATCCACCTGCCTTGGCCTCCCAAAGTGCTAGATTACAGGGGTGAACCACAGTACCTGGCCATTAAAACATAATCTTGGAGAACGATCCAAGATGGCCGATTGCTAACATCCCGAGATTGCAGCTCTCAGGGAAGGCGCGGAGAACTAGAGGACGCTACACTTTCAGACAAAGTCTGGTCACTCACGGAGCAGGAGATCCCCCAGTGGGAGAACAATCCAAGATGGCCGATCGCTAACATCCTGAGATTGCAGCTTTCAGGGAAGGCGCGGAGGACTAGAGGATGCCACACTTTCAAAGTCTGATTGCTCACGGAGCAGAAGATCCCCCAGTGGAGGAAACACACGGGTCGCCAGCGTGACTCTCGTGGCCGGCACAGCAGTTCCGCCAGCACCTCGGGGCGGCAGCTCTCGGAGCAGAGTAAACACTTTTGGAGGACCCACACGGGCCCCCAGCACAATACCAGAGCCCGGCGCAGCTGCTGTGACGGCACCTCGGTGCAGCAGCGCTCGGCGCAGAGTAAACGGGACGGGTTCCCCTTCTGACCGAGGTTTGGAGTCCTGGGAAGGCAGAGTTGCCTACTACTGGACACAAGAAGGAAGCCAGACAGGAGAATCCTGGGCAGAAAAGCACCAAGTTTTAACGCCGCTGCTCTGGCCCTGGGAACTAACAACCTGGACGTCCACTCAAGAGACCTAATCTGAAAGTTGGTAAATTCAAAGACCACAGGAGGATAAATTTACAATGACGGGAAGAAACCAGCGTAAAAAAGCTGAGAATACTCAAAGTCAGAACGCCTCTCCCTCTAAAGGTGATCACAGTTCCACATCGACAATGGAACAAGGCTTGATGGAGAACAAGCGCATCCTGATGACAGAATCACTCTTCAGGAATGGATAATAACAAACTTCGGTGACTTAAAAGAACAGGTTGTAGCCCAACGTAAAGAAACTAGGAACTTTGAAAAAAGGTTTGATGAAATCCTATTGAGAATAGACAACTTAGAGAGGAGTATGAGTGAATTAATGGAACTGAAGAATACAATACAGGAACTCCGAGAAGTATGCACAGGTTTAAACACTCGAATTGTTCAAGCAGAAGAAGAGATATCAGAGGTCAAAGTCCAACTTAATGAAATAAAACGTGAAGAAAAGATTAGAGAAAAAAGAATAAAAAGGAATGAGCAAAGTCTCCAAGAAAGGTGGGACTACGTGAAAAGACCAAATTTACGTTTGATAGGTGTACCTGAATGTGACGGAGAGAATGAATCCAAGCTGGAAAATACCCTTTAGGATATTATTCAGGAAATTTTTCCTAAACTAGAAAAGCAGGTCAACATTCAACCCCAGCTAATACAGAGAACACCACAGAGATATTCCTCAAGAAGAGCAACCCCAAGGCACATAATCGTTAGATTCACCAGGGTTGAAACGAAGGAGAAAATACTAAGGGCGGCCAGAGAGAAAGGTCAGGTTACCCACAAAGGCAAGCCTATCAGACTTAACAGCAGATCTCTCAGCAGAAACTCTACAAGCCAGAAGAGAGTGGGGGCCAATATTCAACATCCTCAAAGAACAGAACCTTCAGCCCAGAATTTCATATCCAGCCAAACTAAGCTTCACAACTGAAGGAAAAATAAAATCTTTTATGAACAAGCAAGAACTCAGAGATTTTATTACCACCAGGCCTGCTTTACAAGAGCTTCTGAAAGAAGCATTACACACAGAAAGAAACAACTAGTATTAGCCTTTCTAAAAATACACCATAAAGTAAAGAGCACCAACATAAAGAAGAATTTATACCAACGAATCGATAAAACAGCCAGTCAACATCAAAAGGCAGTAACCCTAAATTTAAATCAACTAAATCCCCCAATCAAAAGACACAGCCAAAACCCAATGGCATGTTACATCCAGACCTGTTTCACATGCAAGGATACACAAAGACTCAAAACAAAGGGATGGAGAAAGATTTACCAACCAAATGGAGAGCAAAAATAAATCATAAATAAATAAAAAGCAGGAGTTGCAATTCTCGTATCGGATAAAATAGATTTTAAAGCAACAAAGATACAGTGGTAAAAGGATCAATGCAACAACAAGAGCTAACGATCCTAACACCCAGATATGACTCTTAGATTCAATGAGACAGAAAATTAATTAGGATATCAAGGACTCGAACTCAGATCCGGAACAAGTAAACTTAATAAATATTTATAGAGCTCTCCACTTCAAATACACAAAATATACATTCTTGTCAATACCACATCACACCTACCCATGAGTTTAAATGAAACATTGATTGGCCATTATTAATACCCAATTTTTTTCAAAATAAAGCAATATTTCCATTTACTCTCCCTCTTCCTCTCCTTTGCTTATTTTTTTTTTCTTTCCTTCTCTCAAAAAAAAAGAAATCAACTTGTAAACCTCTAGATCCAGGTCCGAAATGTCCCTCTGATTGCTTGATTTCCTTCCTTCCCTTCCCTCCCTCCCTCCCTCCCTGCTTCCTCCCTTCCTTCCTTCCTTCATCCCTTCCTTCCTCCCTACCGTCCTTCTTCCCTCCCTTCCTGCCTTCCTCCCACCGAAAAAAAAAAAAAAATAAATACATATATAACATAAAATAAAATAATTATTTAAATACATAAACAAGAAGATCCCCCAGTGGAGGAAACACACGGGTGGCCAGTGCGACTCTCATGGCCGGCGCAGCGGTTCCGCCCGCACCTCAGCACGGCAGCTCTCGGAGCAGAGTAAACAGGTTCGGAGGACCCGCACGGGCCCCCAGCACGACACCAGAGCCTGGCGCAGCGGCTGTGACGGCACCTAGGCGTGGCAGCGCTGGGCGCAGAGTAAACGGGACCAGTTCCCCTTTTGACCAAGGTTTGGAGTCCTGGGAAGGCAGAGTCGCCTACTACGGACACAAGAAGGAAGCCAGACAGGAGAATCCTGGGCAGAAAAGCACCATTAGTTTTAACGCTGCTGCTCTGGCCCTGGGAACTAACAACCTGGACGTCCACTCAAGAGACCTAATCTGAAAGTTGGTAATTTCAAAGATGACAGGAGGATAAATTTACAATGACGGGAAGAAACCAGCGTAAAAAAGCTGAGAATACTCAAAGTCAGAACGCCTCTCCCTCTAAAGATGATCACAGTTCCACATCGACAATGGAACAAGGCTTGATGGAGAACGAGCACATCCCAATAACAGAATCACTCTTCAAGGAATGGATAATAACAAACTTCGGTGACTTAAAAGAACAGGTTGTAGCCCAACGTAAAGAAACTAGGAACTTTGAAAAAAGGTTTGATGAAATCCTATTGAGAATAGACAACTTAGGAGTATGAGTGAATTAATGGAACTGAAGAATACAATACAGGAACTCCGAGAAATATGCACAGGTTTAAACACTCGAATTGTTCAAGCAGAAGAAGAGATATCAGAGGTCAAAGTCCAACTTAATGAAATAAAACGTGAAGAAAAGATTAGAGAAAAATGGATAAAAAGGAATGAGCAAAGTCTCCAAGAAAGGTGGGACTATGTGAAAAGACCAAATCTACGTTTGATAGGTGTACCTGAATGCAACGGAGAGAATGAATCCAAGCTGGAAAATACCCTTCAGGAAATTATTCAGGAAAATTTTCCTAAACTAGCAAAGCAGGTCAACATTCAACCCCAGCTAATACAGAGAACACCACAGAGATATTCCTCAAGAAGAGCAACCCCAAGGCACATAATCGTTAGATTCACCAGGGTTGAAACGAAGGAGAAAATACTAAGGGCGGCCAGAGAGAAAGGTCAGGTTACCCACAAAGGCAAGCCTATCAAACTTACAGCAGATCTCTCAGCAGAAACTCTACAAGCCAGAAGAGAGTGGGGGCCAATATTCAACATCCTCAAAGAACAGAACCTTCAGCCAAGAATTTCATATCCAGCCAAACTAAGCTTCACAACTGAAGGAAAAATAAAATCTTTTATGAACAAGCAAGAACTCAGAGATTTTATTACCACCAGGCCTGCTTTACAAGAGCTTCTGAAAGAAGCATTACACACAGAAAGAAACAACTAGTATTAGCCTTTCTAAAAATACACCATAAAGTAAAGAGCACCAACATAAAGAAGAATTTATACCAACGAATCGATAAAACAGCCAGTCAACATC